GTACAAGCCAGACTTACTCTACAAAAGGCTGTTGCAAGAGGAAGTACTGCTGCTGCCACTCCATTTTCATCCAAACTGGAATCATTCTGAAAAACAAAATACAACAGAATTTACTCAAATCATATGGAAGAAAGCATTAACCAGACCTATTACCAGAGAATTCATCAACCAGGTTACCGTTTATGAACAAACCTATGTCCAAAGCAAAACCCAGTTTCTCTAAAGAAAATTGACCTAAACTCAGAGGCCTTGCTATGCCCCTTACAATATATTGGAAATGGATATTGGAGTGAAAACTCTTCCTTACCCCTTACAATATATTGAAAATGGATATAAGAGTGAAAACTCTTCTTCCTAAGTGTATCGGAGTTGTATGGAGTTGTATAAACATTTGGAAAGCTTGCCCCCAAAAAAGCATGTACATTTATTAAGAATGTTAAATCTCTCTAAAGGTATAAGAAAAGATACTCATTTCAAAATCTGGTTCGTGAAAAAAGTATCTGAAATGGACCATGATTGTGAGCACCTGAAAGTCCCTCACAACGCACTGGCTATAGACATCATGAATTACGAACTGAAGCTTTTTAAATTAACACAAATTAGGAACTGAAGTTGTTTTTTTTAATACATGATATGGATATTGATAGGAACACAACCCTATCAAAAATCATGAGAAACTGATACTAAAAGGGAACTTGAACCAAAGATAGACACCATATCAGGAATATCATTTTTTTTGTTTGTTTAAAGTGTCAGAGATGGCAATGAATTCAGAGATCGTGCATCTCAAACAGTACATCAACTCACCATAAGAGCACAGTTGAGCAGCTTGACGACTAGATCAAACTGTTGATGCTCCAGCATCGCACGGTTGCTGCGGACATGCTCCCCAAGCTCTTGTGTCAGGGCCAGCCGAGCGATGCCAGACTTCAAAGCCCTCAGGACCGCAGGGAAGATCTACAGATAAAGGAATCAGCAAAATGTTAGGGGCTTTCCCATGCCAATTGCAGCAGTGCAGGAAACGTAACACCTTGAAACCTCAAAACAATGTTTGCTAATTACAAGAAATTTCTTTAAAAAGGAAATAGCAAAATATTGTACTTAGAGATACAAAAAACAAAAACTTCTCATATGTCCCTGAATGAAAGTTAATTTAAAGTTTCTCATAGTTTTTAATGTATTTTCCAGGAAACACATAAAAATTATGTAGTCCTTTAACGTCTTTTCAAACTTTGCACCAGGAATTAACCAGTGAATTGGTACAGAAAAAAGACACCCAAATTCCGAAAGGCAGGTGTTGAGTTGTAACTCACAACAAGTCAGTATGAAGGTGAGAACATATTATTTCACAAGGAACAGATTAAAACAAAAAGAAACACATGGGGGGGAGGAGGGGAACTAAAGCCGCAAGATTAAGATAAGAAAAAAAAGACTGGAGAGAAACTCACTATTCTTGCATCTGGTATTTTGTTGTCAAAGATGAAGTTCACACAGCTTTTCAGCACTTCCAGCCGTCTTGCATTGTTTTCCAGTGTTTTCTGCAGGCTCCAAGCACCTATAGAGGAGCTCATGGGTACCATGCGCACATTTTGTGTCCTCACACTGTTTAACCTTGGGGAAAAAATAAATATTTAAAAACCAGGTGTTAATTCATCTGCTGGGGAAGTGAACTGCACTTCTCCACCCCACAGTGCCATTAATTCTTATAGTATCATTCCTGTTAGAAAGTAGTGTCTTTTGTAGTTTCTGAAGGTATCATATTGACCCTCACTCTTGTCAGACTTAAGCAAAAATTGACTCAACATTTTGTGTGAGCCAAGGTGGAGAATCTTCAACATGTGCAGTTTTCACAGGAATAGTGTTCATACTGATTTCAATCATGAATTTTCAGAAACTTAAAAAAAAGCAGACTGTATATTCTTAAGAAAAAGACATACAGAAATATGCATGACGTAGAGTCTGAGTGAGCCTGAGCCACCTCAAAAATTCAATACACAAAAAAAAGGGTTAAAATATTTCTTTCTGAAAATGTACAACTGATCTAATCCAATCATTTCAATCTTAACTAAGAGCAGTTTAGAACATGAACAGTTCTTCAGAACATAGGCTTCTATTACCTACTCGTTGCTGAAAGAGTACCATAGCTCAGCCACTTTTAGCTCAAAGGAGAAAGAAAGTCAGAAGACTTGAAGATGCTCATCAGCAAGTTTGGATTTGTATTTTGACATAATAATGTGTCACGACGCAGTGGAATCAGGCACTCGGCAATTTTTGGGTATTTGGAGTGATTGGTAACACACTTAAAAGGTTTTTAATTTGCCTTGCATTTGAGGAAAAAAATATCCATTTATCTTAAATGGAAGTCAAGATATCTGCAATTGAAGGAGGTAGGGACACCGGGTTTCAAAAGTAAAATTAGCGCCAAAATAGCCGCCAAAATTTGGTGACTTCCATAGCTCAAGAGTCCTTGGAAACTGCAAATTTACATTTTTTGAGCCTTTAATCAACGTTATTCCATGAATCCACACACAAGAATGTTGTTGAATGGACCTACAAGGTGTTACGCCAAAAAACTCAAATTCGAAAAAAAAATGTCAAAACTGACAGAAAAATTCTAAATTTCTTAAATTTCATTTTTTTGACGAACACCTGATTTCACCATGATGCCTCACAAATTACAGTTCATGGAAGAGAAGAGCTTTTCACACAGATATGAGCTGCCAAAAAAGCATATGACCCTCTTAAACATCTTGGAAAGCTCAAGGAAAGTGGGGGACAATTTTCTCAAAACTTAACCAAACTTGTGCAGCACGAACACAAGACACTGATGTCAAGTAGAGGGGCCTATACAAATATGGCTCAAAAGCCTGTTCATATAGCCAAAGCCTATAAACTCACCAGAGAAAGACACTTCATCCTCACGCCACAACATCCTAACAAAACAAATAGTATGGAAACAGCAGCCTACTTTTTTGTGTTGTTGGTGTAGAGTCCTTCATCTATGATGTCTTGGATCATTTTCCCGTCCAGTGTTGGGAACGCTGGTTGGTGTATACGTGCATAAGCACCTTCTGTTGGCTTTGGAACTTTAGGGACGTATGGCTGCTGACTGGGGCATTCCTGAAGGGGGGTAAAAATAAAAACAAACATACTCATAATGCAACAATACTTGTTTCTCCAAGTACAGAATAAGAATTAGTTTTAGTTTTAGTAAGTGTTTTACGGCACTTGCAACACAATAAGGTCATATAAGTGCCGAAGATTAGAGGTGTTACAAGAGAATAACAAAACACAAAAAAGAAGGAGGGGAGATAGAGACGTTAGATTTTTTATAGGAAAGAAGGAGCAAACCACACCAGAGCACCTGCCAACCACCCACAGAATAAGAATAAGAACCACCCACATAAGACCTAACAACAATAAAGGAAGAAATTTGTCTGTAACAAAAATTAGACCCCAAACTTCTTTTTTTTAAAAATGTTATCACAGCTGCCAGAGTAAGGAGCAGAACATGGACATGGCAAAGGTCATTTAGTGTTGGAAAAATGCAAGACAGACAAAAACAAAAGAGAAGGAAAATATAGAAGAAAACCCTACATTTCACTTCAAAGAAAAAGCAATTCATCGACAGAGCAGAGAGGCAATAAATAAAGAGGCAGTAGAGGAATTCAACCTTCCAATTTTCAAAAGAAACCTTCTGCAACTGACATCTTCCTACACTCTTTATTCCACAACATGTGCCTTTCATCATCACCACCCAAGGCATCAGATTCAGCTGGAATGTATATCAATGCTGTACGCAGAAAGTAGTTGTCCAAGATTTAAAAAAATATGGTTCAGCTATGTTCATCCAGAAAACAATGTGCACCTGATGTTTCAACTAGAAGTAAAAGTAACACACAACGGTAACTCAAAAATCCCATTAAATTATTGAAATAAAGAAACCTTTTCCCCCATCTACTGTACGAATGATTTTAGTGGAGTTGGTCACTTCATTACACACATGTTTAACATACAGAAGAAAGGAAAATCAAGTGACACATACATGGACACACAGACCACACAGAAGAAACGAGCAACACGAAAATCGACATACAGATGACACAGGAGCAACAAATGGCATGTACGTGGAGATACAGATGACACATGAGAAACAAAGGACACATACACATACATTGACACTCAGGTGACAAAGAAGAAACAAGCAATACACACATTGACATACAGATGTCACAGGAGATTCAAGCAACACATACATCAACATAAAGACGACAAAGAAGAAACAAGCAACACATACATTACCATACAAATGACACCCCACCCCCCCAAAAAAAACCCAACCCAAAACAACCCAACACACGGTGACATAAGATACACATAGAAAAAATAAGCGACACATACATTGAGATACAGGTGATGGGCCAGTTCCTTGATGTTCTCCATCATCCGTACAGGGTTGTTGTGCTCCTCCTGGAGCTGCTCTTGGATTGTGGCCGACACCTGGTGGACACACAAAGTTTGTTTTAAAAAAAAGAAAAAAGTATGGTGTTTTAAGCCCCCATCAACACAGCTCAACAAAGGGGGGGTAAGACGTTCATACAAGGCAAAGACCTGAGAAGATTGGTACGACAAAACAGAATGGTCTAATTGGGAGTAGAAAGGTCTTTAGACTCTATCCCAAATTTTTATTTTTTTATTTTATTTTTAAAAAATTTCTTTTAGTGTGTTGTTGACTGTTAGAATTTGTGAGAAGGGGGGCGGGTGGCGGTGGCGGGGGTACACTTGAGTTTTACCATTCACCAAAATTTGTTCGCCATTTTTTCGTTAATTTTTACCTCTGAAACCATCTGACCCCCTCTTCCTTTTATCACAAATATCTCCACTTCTATTTAAGATAGATAGCTATTTTCTTACCAAAAGCAAGACAAAAGAACAAGCTTTAAGATGCTACCGACAACTCTACAAGCCAAAAAATTGACGAGCGCCTGATTCCAATATGCTGTGACATATTTACTACACAAACATAAAAAAAACATGTTTGAATTACTCCAACTCACCTCATCAAAGATGTCACAAACTCGGTAAGGGGGCCCTCGCTCCGCCACAAAGCTGCTGAATGCCATACTGTCAATGACACGGCCCAGAAACTCTTCCTCCACCATGCCCCTCTGACCCAAAAAGTGAGCCTGTGTGAATAAAAAAAAAAATTAAACACCTTAAACAAAGTCAGCCCATTGGCAAAAGAAATATTCTAGAATTAGCTCATTTTTAATCTTCTTTTTGCCTACATCATGGTGTACTTCAATGCCATCTGAGACTCACTTTAGCCCTTCATTTTCAAGGAACAGACCTCAGTTGTCCTCGAACACAGTTTGTTTGTTTGTTTGAGAAAAGAAAAGCACGTCGACACAACAATGGTCACTTAGAGCTGGGAAAAAGTAAGACAGACAGACAGAGATAAAAGAGGGAATGTTAAAGAAGTAGGACCTACTAGTGGTGCCCTCCAACAACCCGTTCGGACACTGTACTGAGAGGAAAATCACTCGGCGATGGACAAGAAATATTTTTTACCTCACTACAAACCAAACATTTAGTTTTAGTAGAGGTTTTACGGCGCTCGCAACTGCATAAGGTCATATGAGCGCCAGAAGATTAGAGGCATTACAAGAGAGTAACAAAAATAAAAAAGAAGAAGGGGAGATAAGGATGATAGATGTTTGATAGGAAAGAAGAAGCAAACCACACCAGAGCACCCTCCAACCACCCACAAAAACCAAACCTACAGCTCCTGTCCAACAAAAATAACACCATGAGAAAATATTAGGACAATCTTTCCAAGTTCAAGAGAAACATATCTACAAGAATAAAGTGATTTAATGCCAGGAAAAAAGCAAGACAAGACTGTCTATAGCCAGTGAAGGAAAGAAAAGAAGAAGAATGTGCCATCTGATAAACGCCCCCCCCCCCCCCCCCCCCCCCCCAACTAATCACTTTTTCATGATACAAAACAAGCACAAATACACGAGAGAAATGAATAATTCTTATTCATCAATAAGTAAAAGAATTAATGACAACCTTTCAAAATATTACACAGGTAAAAATGAGCTTCTCCTCTAAACAAAACGAAACAAAAAACATAGAGCAACTTATAAACGGAGATTATAAATAGATTCTTACTCCAAAAGCAAATTCCAGACAGCTGCTTCTCAAACCTAACACACATCACCCACCTTATGAAATGTGATGAATGGAGTTGGGTGTATCCGGACAATAGCCAAACTTGAGCGATAGCCGGAGAACATTTCAGCAAACATTCGGATAAACACACTTCGAAGTTCCTTGTCCTGAAAGAAAGTAAGATTATAATCCATTAAAATCATTCAATACCAATTTTGTTACAGAACTCTACATGATTTCATAAGGGTGGGGGTCAAAAGGAAAGCATGAAAAGATCTGTATGTTTGTGTGAGTGTGTGTGTGTGTGTGTGTGTGTGTGTGTGTGTGTGTGTGTGCATGGGAAGGGGCGCTAAGGATGTGGCCTTAGATCCAAGAGGCCTGAAGTCAGAAAAACAATGGGAACCACCGATACAAAGCAATCAGGTATTAAGCTTCCCTCTCATATATTATAGCTCACTTACCCTGTGCACATGAGAGGCCAGCTTTTTAGGGGAAGGTGCATAGGCATAGTCTGCACAAACCAGATCTGGATTCAAAATCTGAAGAGACATAAATAATATCTCTGAAATATTAAAATTGTAACGGCGATCTGAAAAATAATAAATTATTTCAACCATCACAAATGAATTCTTTCATTACATTTAAACGAAACTCTGATATGCATAGTGAAGACCATATCAAAATTGATTTTGTTCAACTGCTTTTCAACATCTTCAAAAAAAAAGATCCTCATCCCAAGTTAAAATTATTTCCCACATCTTCACCATCAAAACAATGTATTTCAAAGAAACTGTGTCTTGTCTTCATCCTTTTCTCATCTCCCACTGATATGGTTGTAGTGGACCAAGCAGCTGTAGAGCTTTCACCCTTCGGGTGGATTTCAACCAAAATCTGAACTGATCTTGGGAAAAGAAATTCCAGTGCCCTCGTCACTTCTGACAGATAAAACATGTATAGCTCTCAAAGCACAGCATCTCTCCCTTGCACAACATGCCACCCACTCACCATGGTAAGTGCCTTCTTGGCACTGGTGAGAATGCTGTCTGTGATGGGTGGGATGGTGACACACTCAGGGATGCGGACGCTGCCCCCGTCCAAGTCCACAATGATGACATCCAGCTGGAGGGAGAGAAAACAGAAAAACTTTGAGGGATCAAAGGCTACTAAAAAATAAGGTTTCAGCATTCCAGTTAGCCAAATTTGAACTGCTATCAAAGAAAAAAAAAGAAGAAAATAAAAAAGAAAAGAAATAAGAGACATTACTGCCAGCCAAGTTTAAAATGCTGCCAAAACCCCCCCCAAAAAAAACAAAGAGGTATGCGCATTACTGCCTGCCAAATTTGAACCCATGCTTAAAGAAATATGTGCATTGCTGCCTGTCAAATTCAAATCACTACTAAAAATCAAATGTTGTGCATTACTGCTTGATAAATTTGAATTGCTCAACAGCAACACAGAGGTAATCTTACTTCATGCTTCTTTGAAGAGAGGTTCTGGAGTACAGACCTCACATAAAGAGGGAAACTACTTGATCTTGTGAGACTTTATCTTGCACAATTTGAGGTGTTTAAAAAAAATTTAATTTCTACAAACAGACAACCTAAAAACTTGGTAAGTCCGTAATCATTGACATTTAGACCACAATTTCAAGAGGTTCTGTGTTTGAGTCTACAGCCACACTGCCAGCACATATTGGGTATCAACTATGTAGAAGATTATTGTATAACCAGTAAGTCATAATGTTGAAAGGCACTGTATGGTAAACATAATCAGTTCCTTGACACTATAGTCTAACATATAAACACTTGACAACAGGAGCCAAAGGGCTATGATATATCAGATAGTATGCAGCCCTTTTGTGTCATCCAACGGCTGAACTCAGTGACACAGGTCAGCAAAGTTGGTCACATGATGGCACTAAGCAGGAAAAAAACAAAACAATCCCAGGTCTAACACCATCTGTGGTAATAATAATCTGACAATTGTACACTATGATAGGTAAGAAAAAAAATGAAAAAAAATAAATTAAAATACGGCCATACATGGGCCAGCTACAGAATAGGACAAGAGCAACATTCAAAAAGAAGGAGCAGACTACAGCAATGCTTCATCCAATTACCAACTCACTTAGACACAACCAGCTCCTGCAAACACTTACGAAAGTCTGAATAATGAAACACCCAGGCTCTTATTGTCAAAGACCTAGTACACCCAGGGACACAAGTGAAGAGATCCAATACACAATGGTTCACTTTTACAATAAAATTGACAACGCAAACAGCAAAATAAGGAAAGAGGCCAGGTTATAAACACTACATCAAGTCCCACATGGATCAACAGGAATACCAGATGTCTGACAAATATGACTATTAGAGGACTGAAAATATACATTCTTTTCACAGTAACAACACCACTTCAGCCAGACTGCATCACCAATACTTTACAGTCAAGTATCAATTTTTTGTTTTCATCCTTGATGGCAAGGAACTCTATCAGCCAACCCTGTAATCTGGGGTCTGGATAACCAGAGAAAAAAACCCACAAAGCCATTCACTGACCACGCGTGCACAAACCAGTGGGTGATCCAGGTACTTTGACACTACAGAGCCCCCGTATACTGAAGTCATGACAGGTAAGCATTTAGATGGTGGTCAACATAAATCTTTTTCTAATAATACACAACAAGGAGTTACACATTAGACATGCATTCACAGCAATTCAACTGGGACAAATTTTACGAATCATTTAATCTTAGTCAATAAATTTGTTTAACTCACAACAAAATACACATCGATCAAGAACTGAAGAACAAATTCAAAGGATGAGAATAAATATGAAATTCCTTTCTTACAGAAGAGAAGATTATATTTGTATTCAACATTAAACTTGAGTAAAGTGAAAGTAATAAATCTTAAACCTGCGTCCTTCGGAAGTCTAAGATTATTATTAAAATTGCTTCAAAAATGCTGTCGATAAAGTAACTTTAATCACTTTCACATGCACAACAAAAGCTGAAAAAATCAACATGATAAAATTTTGTAGTTCTAATTTCTTTTATAAATTTGGTGTTACTCAAAGAGAAACAATTGTATTACAATAGGGGGAGAGAGAGAAAACCTGTTCAACAAAAAGTGGAGAAATAAAAAACAAATTTTTTTAAACTACCATGAATAAAGAAATGAAAGGTGGTCTGTTGTGTTAAAAATCAACCAAATGGAATTTAAACCTTTCAGAGTGATCCAATCCATTTAACAAAGTCTATTGGATTTTAGAAAGTGATGTATGAAAAATTTTGAAAGAAAACTTAATTGCCTCAAAAATAAAGACGCCCATATTTCACTGGCTGACAATGGGGGAAAGCAATAATAATACTGCATAATTCAATCATGAGCAATATTACCAAAAGTCAGAGAGGTACAAAAATGCAAATCTGAACACTCCACATCCACAAAATGTGACCATACCAGAAAAAACAAAAAGATGAGGGCAAGTCCCACAAAACCAACAGGATTGATGACGTAATACCAAAACAGTAATTGGTAAGGGTCAAGAACAGACATTCCATCACAATCAACAACTATCATTTCAAAAAGCACTCTGCGTTTTGCATACAGTTGGTGTAAAAACTAATTAAAAGTGACACATTCATGTGCCAACCTTTGGGAAAACTAAGCTGAACATTAAACGAAGCTTTAACAATGACAATGACTTAGTAGCAACGCAGTGACCTCTCGAAATATGCAAACAACTCAAAAGTGAAACATAATATTATATCTAGACACAAGATTAACAGTAAGTTTGGTGTTCACAGGATTTCACTCATTTCTTTTTGTCAAACACTATGTGCACGTGAAAAGCATGGCAATTCCTCATCTTAATATCTATGCACTGCAGCGGAAAGGAAACCCTACACCTGCAAAGATACAACTGCACAATACGACAGATTTGAAGTGTGGTTTTTTTTTCTCAGTTCAAACATAATATGAATATGCATACTATGTACATTATGATAAATTCATCGGAAAGGCAATTTTTAATCTCAAGGATGCAATCTTCCCTTGAGAAACAAGGGTATTCCAAACACTCTTGAACATTTTTTTTTAAAACACATGTTAGCCAGTATACTGGCATCTCTCATATACCATTACAAAAGACTTGTGACGACTGAAATTATTTTCTTAGACTATATGAGATCTCAAAAAAGTCTTTCATTTAAATAGAACACAAATATTTTTCTACACCAAGGGCTCAGTGTAATGTGAAGTTGTTTTTTTCCCCACAGCACAGGTCATATTCTAAAAATGGCAAAGAAGGGGCTCAAATCTATAAATTATAGAACAAATTTCAAAATCAGACAGACAAATCAAATTGTTCTTCATTGCTGTAACTTCAAATTGTTACCTCTATACGAGTTAGAAAATCATCCCTCCTCAACAACAACCCCCCTCCCCCAAATACCCACAAGAAAAAAAGGGGGATGGGGGCTTGATGGAAAGGACAATACAATGAAAAACATTTACACTTCCAAACTGACCTCTTATCCATCAAACAGGTGATAATTTTTATTTTTTTAAAAACACATCTGAGGGGAAAACTCAGAAAGTGGTTTCCTACCACCGAAAGGACAATACAAGAGCATTGCTACACTGACAGCCTAAGCTGGAGCAAGCATGGCGGGCAGAGACACTCACCATTTCTGATCGCTTACTCTTTCAGAAGCAAACAAGTTGACAGAGAGATGAGATGTCACGAGAGGTAAAGGACTCTTATCAAATTCAAATATTGATGAGTAACTAACATTAACAGAGAGTGTGATAAAAAAAAAAAATTGCAGATGAGATACTGGACAAACTATTTGCACTGGTCTCTTCATTCAGCAATGTGAAATGTTAACTAGCTCGTTCAACAACACTTCTTGCAACTACATTTTTAAAAAAACTTCAGAAAACAAACCAATGAGCTTTGCAAAAGTGAAAATAACAGAACACATTTCAACAGGACTCTCTCTCTCTCTCTCTCTCTCTCTTTTTCTCTCTCGTTCATTCTCTCCCTCTCTCTGAAAAGTACACACGATTTTGGAGTCTCTACTTCAACTCACTGACACACTGACATACATATACAAATTGAGAACTGCCACTCTTTCATGTCGTCTTGTATGAATTCAAAGTACAAAACAAAAGTACACTGAAGACAATGGCAAGATGAGTGACAAAACTCTCACATTATAGCTGGGCTACGATTGTTATCATGATAAAAAACCAAAGAAGTTAATCAATGTTTAAGAGAAAAACTACGTCATGCACTAGTTTCATTGCATGCCATACTAATGAAAGCCTTCATTATACACTCCCTTCACATTTTCTTCTTACTTGAAATTATCTCAGCAAGAAAAACCAAACAAAAACCCCAAAAAACTTACACTTATTGTTTATTCTATACATTATACAATTCATTTTTTCTTTTTTAAAATGTAAGAAACAATTGCTCACCAAATCTGCAATGTCATCTTTCAGCTTTGCATGCACCCCAGCAATGAAAGGAGTGGGTGAATTGAGCACTTCTAACAGAGACGTTGGCAAGACAGGGATGAACACATATCTGAAAACATAAGAACATGTCATAAAGTCATACTGTAACCCATTTCACTATGAACCATGAAATTATTAATAGAAAAGAAACAGAATGAAATGCACAAGACAGACCACACCAAGGAGCCCATCAATTTCATACATCAATATTAAGAGGTAATAATGTAAATAACATAAGATATGATATAGCCAACTGCTGATTGGACACAAAACATGGATAGAAGTGAAAAGCTTATTCCATCTGGAAGACTTCTACAAGAAACTAAGCTTACCAGGCCTAGAATGGGAACCCAAAAGGAAAAGAAGACAAATACTTTAACAGGTATTATCTTATTCTAGAGCAGGAGCACTTTTGCTTCTGAAAAAAACCCACTTTAAGACAATGAAGGTCATAAAGTGCTGGGAAAGATTTCATTGATAGAAATTGTCTCAGAGAAGTAAGTGAGTCGAAAACAACATAAGTGCAGTGACAAAAGAAACAAGAACAAAACCAGACTAAAATAAATTTTGAGGTAAAGAAAAGCACACCAAAATGAGATTGGCCACTTTTAGTAAGGGAAAAAAACACCACACGGAAAGAAACAAGGTGGGATCGCAAAGAGTCAAAATACACCAGTGGCACCTTCCAACCACCCACACACCAAAGTTGCAGCAGAAAACTTGCTCGTTTCAGCCTAAAAGAGTACAAAATGCTGAGAACAGTCCTGTAATTGTAATTTGCATTCCACTCACGTGTATTTGAGAGGGTAGTATAAGACGGTGAGGGCGCGGCAGGCATCAGAAAGCCGGGAGCAGCTCTCCGAGTAGAACAAAATTTTGTGGTCTGTCAAGGCAGCGGCAAACACAGTCAGCGTATTGTTTACACCTGAAATAAAATAAAAAATTCCAACATGAGAGTGTAAGGAGGTTTATTGTTTTAGTTCAGTTGTAGCACGCATATTTGGGGCATTTGTAACACAAAAGGGCCATTTAAGTGTCAGAGATTAGTTGTTGTTTTTGTTTTAGTAGAAGTTTTACGACGCTCGGAACTGCATAAGGTGTATGAGCACCAGAAAATTAGAGGAGTTACAAGAGAGTAACAAACATAAAAAAGAAGGAGGGTAGATATGGACGATAGATGTTTGATACGAAAGAAGGAGCAAACCACACCAGAGAACCCGCCAACCACCCACATGAGATTAGTTGTAACAAGATAGTAACAAATATTTTTAAAAATAATTTTTTAAAGAAGGAAGAGAGAAAAGGAAGATAGATGTTTGATGGGAAAGAAAAAGCAAACCACACCAAATTATCCACGAACCACACACATGACAGTTATATACATACACTAATAACAAGTCTGAACGAAAGGAAAAGGCCTATTTACACAAAACAGAGGAAGGACAAAAGTAATTATAAAGAGGAACAACAGGTCCATTTGTTCCTTCGCAGAAAGAGAAGCACATCGACACAATAATGGTCTCTCAGAGCAAAGAAAAAGCAAGACACATAGAAAGACAGAAACAAATAAGAAACAGTGAAATAAGACCTACCAGTGGTGCCAACCAATCACCCACAGAACCACAAGAATGCTATCACTATCCAAGATAACCACAACTGGAATACTCCGATACACATAACATAACCAAGAGAGCCAACCAATATATGACTATTTCTATGTTACAAATACCCCCCAAAAACCCAACACACCTGATATTTTTCTTTACAAAATCAGTTCTCTATTAAAAAACAAAAACAAAAGTAATATTTTAGTGCAAAATAAATGTGTGAAAGAAGGCACAGCCACCTAAATATTTACTGGTACATAAATAAAGACTGACATCTGTAGCATAGCAGTTAGGTGCTTCGCCATCACATGCAAATGACCCAAGATTGATCCCCGTGAGGCTAGAAATTTTATCAAGTATCGCAGTCTTTCTTCTGGGACATTGTATCCCTCTCAGCCCACGTTGACCCAGACAGGCAGGGTCAAAGCCTGTCTCCTGACTGATCTAAAACTGTGTCGATGGGGGGTGTAAAACACCCTAATTTGAAGAAGAAAAAAAAAGACAGCAACAATGCGCCTAGACAGAAAAGGAACAGTGTTTAACTAACCATAAACATGTATAAAACAATTAGAATTACTATAACAACAGTAAAGACATCTATTTTGAAATAAGCAGCATGATGTTTTACCTAATTGCTCAAAGAGGATCGCTACAGAAATATGGCTGACAGGAAGACTGGCACTCAAGGCTGGCTGCAGTGCTTGTCTGTCACCCGCTCCTATAGAGAATCGAACCTGCGGTCCACCTGCAAGGACAAATCAATTGAAATTGTTCAAAATAAAATAAATAAAAAAACAGCAATCACTAGACAAAATGAAGTGATGAAATGAAAGAGAGTGTCTTATTTATAAAGCTATAAAAAAAAGTAAAAATCAAAAACAAAATAAAAATATACTTGTGTTTAAAGGAAAAACTTTTGCACTGTCTTTTAGTAAATGTAAACTTATTTTTTGTGTGTGTATTTAACAAATACAAAAAGAAAGGTATGCTCAGTGAACTATATGAAATGATCCACAGATGGAAATCCTGATACTCCAGATCAATATAAAAAAAAGCCTAAAAAAGCCTACTGTGCACATTATGGTAGAAGCATAACACTCCAATCTGTGTCTCTAAAGATATGATCATTGGGGGAGTGGGGGAAATTTGGGTATTACTAATACACCTCCTGACCAGTGATTAAATAAATTTATTCAACCCCAAACTACAGAGAGAGGGGTAAACATAAAGACTAGATTATAAAATTTTAAAAATCTTAACTTCTGCTTCAGATTTTCAGTAACATTGCTTCCACATAATCACTTACCCGCAGGTGGGACTTGAACACACCCTAAAATATTTCCCACAAGTGTTTCTATTTTCACCGTCAAGTTCTCCAGGTGTACTGTGTATATGATCCCCAGGCAGTTCTGGAGAGAGACATAAACAGAGAAAATGAATAAACAAAGTGAACCCTATAGGCCAATATTCTTTAACAGCTGGACTGTAGTAGATGTGATTTCAAGACTTTATGAGTTTATGCCTGAGAAAGAAAACCCCCCAGATATAAACAAAATATGACACAACTGTTCATCATACGTTGCCGAAAAAGTAACTCCAGAACTATTAAGAATAACTGCCGAACTACTTAAATCAAAACTAAAGATAATGTTACTGCTCTGAGATTTTTTTTTTAATGGAAGTGCTTTTACTATATGAATCTGTGAAATACTAAGACTTCATTTTTTTCCAGAAATTTAAAGCTCATATGTGTGCATGCTATCATACTTTACTCCTAAAAAATTCTCAAACATTCTTAATTTTTTAATTCATTCCAAGGGGTTACTGACAAAATTGGGGTAAAGAGGAGGTGCCCATTGTCTAACACAAGAATGACAAAAACAAGCCTTGGTCCGGTGCTCACAGTTTGCTGATATATATTCTTAATTTTGTCCTTGGAACAGGTATGCTCACCTACTGCTTTAGCTTGTAAAGGCAGCATCATTTTAAAGTTTCTAAAATGCAATTTCGTGTCATCTTTTTTTTCTTTCATTTGCATGATTTTTTTAAAGTGCTACTGGGTAACAAAAAAAACTTTTTAAAGGTCCAACACAGCCTGACGTACTAGACATTACATTGTCCTAAGAGCAAACATTTTAAAAATAATGTGTGCTCTCTTTACTCAAACAAATAAACAAACATGTCCTTGTTTATCTGTCTAACTCAATTTTTCCAATACATTGTGTCATTGTGTCATCATTGTTATGTACAAGTAATATTTGTCATCATTGCTAATATCAATAAGTTTTCAACATATATTTCATACATGCAAGATTCATTTAGAAACAAAATACACCTTTATTGATCTGTGTATCTCATAGTGCAAATTTGTTCTTTGTAGGCATGATTTGACCTTTTCCCAGTATGTTTTGTCATCACTGTTATGTACGAGTACTCTTTGTCATAATTAGCAATGTAATTGTGATTGTCTACTGTCTTTGATATGACCTGGTATCTGTTTCAAAGCAAAAGAAACCTCTCCTGGGTTTTTTTATTCTTAAAGTGCGCTTTTCTCTCTGGAGACAAGATTTTTTTTCTTTTCCTGTACATTGTGTCATCATTGTTATGTACAAGTCATGTTTGTCATCACTGTTATGTACAGGTCAGCTCAATTGATTTTGTTGCTTTTGGCTCATATTAGTTTAAAAATTGTTTTACACATGTGTTTTTCTGGTACTGAGGCTTTGATAACTGTATTTGTACAGCCTTTCACTATTGTGATGTGTTGTCAATGATAATGTCCAATGTGTATCCTTTCTTGTACATAACAATGATGACATGTTCTGTGCACTGCGTCATTGTTACAAAGCTTGTCATTCATATTACCATTATGAATGGAGTTCATAGTGTACGAAGTCTTTGTTTACTAAACAAATGGAATTTAAAGTCCATTATTTGCCTTGCTGCTTATCTGTTTTTGTCATCACTGTTACATACAAGAAATACAGTAGTTGCCAAACCAATAGACCCATATCTCCAAAACTGTACGTCTCCTTGCTCTGATACTTTAGGAATATGAGCACTAAATGGCAATCTGTGACTGACAGAAAAGAGAGTCAAATTGGTAAGAAAATTTTTTTTGCACCACTGAGTCTCAAGAGAGTCTCACGTTTTGGCAATTGCTCAAATACAAATGCATCACATTTTATGCACACTAATGTGAGATGTATGTGTTTTTCCCCACGTTTTGGCAATGGCTCATATAGTATAACAGGGGGGGAAGAAAATAAGCATTTAGTTACCCGGAAGGCCTCTATGTAGTCATGTCTGGAAATAAGAGCTATGGACTTTGGGGCAAACATCGACGAGTGGTGTATGATGCTTCCTTCCTGTTCGTCCTCCTCGTCGTCCGGCTTGCACGGAGTCATGGCTACCATCTCATGGAATGTGAACACGGCACAGTAGTGGCGCTCCCCATCCATGTCCGTGAGCACGGCCACGTAGAAGGATGGCTGCTGCCTCTGGTTGTAAAGTGCCCATCCCACTGGTTGGCAAAACTAGGTGGAAAATACGTTACTTTATGTTACATGGGCGTGTGTTACAACAATTACAATGAAAAAGCACAGCTATGAAATAAAGCACTAATATAGCCCATTATAAATAGAATAAAAATCATTGGGAATTGTCAGGTTTTGATTAATTGAATTTCTCCATTTAAAAAACAAAACAAAACAACTTCATAAGGTCAGTTACTCATAATTTGCTATTTTTGTTGACTGAACAGATGAGAATGACAAAGTAGACTACTACTGACAAAATAAATAATTTCTACAACTAACTTTCTCTCTCAAACACTGAACGGTTGCGGGGTATTTGTCTCCCTACCATATTCTTATTAAATAAAAATAGTGTGGCCCTATAATTTTCTATTGTCCTGAATAGCTCTCAATGGTCAATTAAAACATACCAAAGGAAGCCCTTGCATAAAAGGGCAGTCATCCCAATCTTTTTCCGGGAACCTCTGTAAGATCTTGCCACAGCTTGTACCGCTCCCTAGAAGAAAAAAATTGCCAAATTTGTCAACTTAGAAGTTAGTCATGCGGTAAGTTTTCCCACATGTACATTCTAGTCCAAAAGTGACGAGTGATCTCTACACCATAAAAAAACGGCTTTTCATTTTTCCGTTAATGTTTTTGTTCAATGCATTTTCCGGACACTAAAACATCCAGTATGATGTCACTTAGAAGACGTGATGTTTGTCAAGAACTTGTTCATATTACAGTTACAGTTATTTCTTGTTCAGAAGACTGTACATGATTTAAGGGAAGCTTGAAAGTATTTCTTTATGATTACATCATGCAGTTTCATTTGTCTGTAAACAACCAAATAAATTAATGCAGTCTTGGTTTGATATCCAATCTACGCCTAAATTGTTCCCATACTTTCTGAAGGAAATTCAGCGAGAGCCAAATGTTGCAAACCCATATTTAAAGTCATGAAATGCAAATTCAAGGCATACTGAAAAAAAAAGGAGAATTGACTGCAAAGTTTGTAGCCTTGGCACCACTTGCGAAATAATATCCAGAAAGCTGCAGGCAGCAAACCGATGAACGGTCTCCTTTACAAATAGTTTCTGGACGCAACAAGTAGAAGAATAAAGGCGTAACAGAACCTATGCTGAAAGAAGAAGCAAGAAAATTTTTGTGTGACCTCTGCTTCTAAAGGCCGGCTGCATTTATTCACCAAACGCAACAGCTTGGCATGTGACATAAAATGACAAAAATGTTTCAACAAGGCCAGACTCAGACAACCCAACAACAAAATGGCACCTCAAGGGCAGATCTGAAACACAACCATCATGGATCATAAAACGAAGAGTAAATTCCAAAGCGGTTCGTAATAGTAAGTAATGAAGAAACGATGACCTGACTGCTATCATCAATACAAAAGATATTTGGGTCCCGCCCTTTTTTTTCTCCAGACTGGGCCGTTATGATAGGAGGCAGATTTGAAGAGGAGGCAGATTTGAAGAGGAGGAAGAGAAAAAAAACGAACATTCCCGGAGTAAGATAAACAATCAGAAAGGCACTTGACCTCTGTCACTACATGAAGATTCACTATAGAGATTTTTCATTCCACACCATAGAGGCATTGATAGGGCGTGAGAAGCCAAGCAGTGATAAAATCATGTCAGACCTAGTCCCAGTGTCCTGCTAAACCAGTTTCTGGGACCATCACATGTTGAATCTGCAACTGAAATTTCTCTGAGCTTGTTTGCACTTTTTTTTTCTCAGTATTTATTTTACACTCCAAGATAAGATCAAGTCAAAGACTGAACAATCTCTCCCTCAAATGTCAGTTCAAAAGATAACCTTAAAAACATAGGAGTAAAAATAACTAGGGAATTAAGTACTCTACTTGCACAAATTTAATATAATAATTCATTCATCATTTTTTTTTGGTGAAAAAATTATTAAGATAATGAGATCTCTGCATTTAGACATCTTGCAGCGAAGGGCAGCCCCTCTCTCTACCCCCCCCCCCCCCCCAAACCCAACCAACTACAATCACCAAAACATTTTTAATATTATATATATATAGCCAATGACAGTCACAAACTGAGGGAAAATGTGTGAACTGAATTGTAGCAGAATGTGGGGGTAGTGTAGACCATGATCAAGTCAATCGGTTCTCAGAGAGTGGTCCGGTGGTAAACTAAAAAGTAGAACAGAAACATGGCAGTGGACCATCTAGTGGACCAGCACCACAGGAACTGTTCTCTTTAGATCTCAACTAAATCTTATTTTGACTTTATTAGAAAATGTTCTTCATCTAACTAAAAACAGACCAAGACGAACTGACTCTATTCCGCTCTGCTAGAAATATGTGTCACGATGTGGTGGAATCAGGCACTCATCAATTTTTGGGCGGGCTCATGTTAAAGCCTGCTCATTTGCTTTCCTTTCAGTGAAAAAAATTTCCATATATGTTGAATAGAAGTCGAAATATTTGCGATTGAAGGAGGTCAGCGTCTCCTTGTTTCAGAGGTGAAATTAGTGCGAAAACGGTCGCCAAATTTTGGTAACTTCCATAGCCTGAGAGTCCTTGGAAACTGCAAATTTACCTTTTCTGTGCCTTTAATCAATGTTTTTCAATAAAATCCAGACAAAAAGGTGTTTTTAAATGGACATGAAAGGTAATGAGCCAAAAAAAGAATTTTTAAAAATTGCACATCGGCCAAAAAAATGTCGATTTCTTCGATTTCATTTTTTAAAAAAATAAATAAAAGTAAAAATGTTTTACGGCACTTGTAAACAATAAGGTCATGTAAGTGCCGAAGATTAGAGGTATTACAAGAGAGTAACAAATACAAAAAAGAAAGAGGAGAGATCAGGACGACAGATGTTTGATAGAAGAAAATAATAGCAAACCGCACCAGAGCACCCACCAACCACCCACTAGATTTCATTGTTTTAATGAGCGCCTCGTTTCACCATGGTGCCTCACATATTATGCACATGATTTTAAACATGGTGTCCTTAACTTTAACACTGGCAAAAAGCAAGACAGACTGAAAGAACACTACAAGAAAGTTGTAAACAAATTTCTAGGTAAAGTGTAAAAAGTGTCCAGAGGTAGCACGCTCTAACACAGCAGAGTTATATAAAGCAGGGCAACTGAGACCATCTCAAATGATCCCTCAGCAAAAAAAAAAGCACTTTTTTGAGGTGCAAAAAAAAACCCACCCACCCAGGACAAATTATTTTTTAGTTTTACCATTAAAACCATTTTTATCCCTAGATCTAGATAACGAAGAAAAACTCAGTGATGTCGATTTCTTTGATTTCATTTTTAAAAAATATTTTTATAAATAAAAGTAAAAGTGTTTTACGGCACTTGTAAACAATAAGGTCATATAAGTGCCGAAGATTAGAGGTATTACAAGAGAGTAACAAATACAAAAAAGAAGGAGGAGAGATCAGCACGATAGATGTTTGTGATAGAAGAAAATAATAGCAAACCGCACCACAGCACCCACCAACAACCCACTTGATTTCATTGTTTTAGATAAGAACAGCGAAAACGAGGTCACTTTCTGTGAGCATGCGCAGAATGCAGCTTATTTCACTTTCGTTTTGGAGGTTCCAGTCAACACACGTGGTTCTACGGTGTCGGAAAGTTTTGCCCCTTCAAATTGATGGTTTTCGTAACCGGTATCAGTGAATTTACTAAGCGCTTGAGTAGTTGATTAATTAGCACATCTAGTTAATCTAGCTCTAATGTATCGTAGAATGTATACTAGAATCGATAAATACTATCGCAGGCTGCTTCTTATTCTTAATGCCCAAGAACATGCCAGATAGGGTTGCGCACTGAAGCAGACCAAATTGGTGCAGTCCGTTTCAGTGCGCAGTATCGGCTTTTTTGCTATTTGTTGGCAATGATGGTGTGGCTTCTAGATCTAGGCCCTTTGGTTTTTTATTATTAAGTTATTTCTTTATGACCTGCATTGTGCACTGAAACAGACTGTTTCCTACCGTTTGGATGCATTATAATACTGCCATTGGAAGTTGATCAGTTATAAATGTATTCTCATGTCAAAATTAATTAATATGGAAATTGAATCTGCAAAATGCTCAATTTCTTCTTTTCATGTCTTTTTCTTCTTCTTTTTTGTCCTTTTCTTTTAAGAATACTAGTCTAGGTATAGTCTAATTCTTGTTTTCTTCTTTCACCTCCTTGTATCCACAGCACCTTTCTTTTTCAATTTCTTTTTTTCATGTCTTTTTCTTCTTCTTTTTTGTCCCTTTCCTTTAAAAATACTAGTCTAGGTATAGTCTAAATTCTTTTTTCTTCTTTCACCTTCTTGTGTCCACAGCACCTCTTTCTTTTTATCCATTATCAAAACACATACGTATACACATGGTTATAAGGAAATCTCCTGTTAGGGGGTGCACAGCTCCCAAAAAGAACACGCCTCATTGACCTTGGCCTTCCGTTATAATGGTCATTACAGGAACTTCTTGCAAGGAAAAGAAGACAAGGCCAGGATAGAGAAAGATGAAAAGTGTCAGAAAAGAGCTAGATCTAGATTTAGTGCTGTAAACATGGTACTATTGCGCACTCAACCAGACGATATAATATGTTGCACCAAACAGACACCTTGTGCATCAACCAGACACACGTTACCAAACAAACACCACCACAACCAGGCGCGGTTTGTCCATTGAGCATGGCCGTGCAGTGCCGCCCACAATTTTTAAATGTTCTATCACGTAAAACACCCCACGGCGCACCGGCAGTGGAATTTTAGTTGCCGCGGGGGGTTCCCCGCCGGGTGCCTTATCACGTTGGGGTCACGGGGGTCAGCTCCCTGTCGCCGCTCTGTCTGGGCCGACTTAATTTTTGGTACTTTTCAACGTACAATTTAAGGTGTATCCTTGTATTTATGGTAATTTTCATTTAGTGCACCCAAAGCACGCATTTCTGCTCTTGAGACTCAAAAAAGAACAGACGTTGTAACTTGTCTGGTTATTTCGTTAGACGCGCTGGAGTCGGCAATACTAAATTGTCATTTTTTTGGGACTAGCGTGAATGAAAAAAAATCAATATAAAAAAACGCATCGTCAAAATCTGTCGAACTTTTGGAATATGAACGACATAACATTAGTGCAGATACTCAGAAAAGATGGTATCTGCGCTTATAATAGAAGGCTGTAATTTTGCAATTTTATCCATCGGGCACACAATTCGCTACGAAGTAATTCCTCCAAATACAACTTTATGTGTCTAATATAATCATGAATATTCGCATATTTTCTCGAAAGTTTATAAAAGTTATCATGAAGTTTCTCAATGAAAAGTACAAATCGATTTGAGTGCTAGAATATATCTTCAACGTAGATCTAATACACGAACAGTATCTGTTACACTCCAGAAATTGCTTACTTTTCTTAAAACGCTAAGTCTAGGTTTTGTAAGTTGACTGAATAATAGGGATGACTTCTCGTAATTGGGTTATAAGAATAATTTCTAGCTTTCCAGGGACACTGAATCAGCACCAGACTTTTCCAGCTTTTTTTTACGTTTCTATGACCATTTGCAATAACTGACAATGTGACTGATATCTTTACATTCATAATTGTGTCCGCGCATATTTCCTACACAAAAACTAAGAATGAATGTTTTAGCTGTCGTTATTTTTATTCCAAACTAGAAGTTTATCTCTACCCATGTATTTACACGGTTTTGTGGTTTTTTAAATCGCTTATATTATATCTTTTTAGTTGTATGCAGGCTGCCACAGACACAGCATGATTCATGAACAAACGCAGAGTAACTTTCTCTTGTTTAATAGTAAAATAAGAGCTAACGCTGATCGTCTTTAGTTAAAATATGCAGATGTGCATCTTTCTTCTCTTATAACTTGACTATTAACGCAGATTTAAGATTTCTCATGGTAAAAGACATGATATTCGTAGTCAGTTTAACACAGAATTTGGAGAGATCTGTCGTGCCTTTTTTAAAATAACAATAATTTATTCATAACTTTGTAACTGAAATAGGACAAATTGGGTACTCGACAAACACTTGTCTAGAACAAAAACTAAGGCACAGAAACTAACCATTCTAACGCAGAATAAATCTCAAGACATTGAGCTTTTAGTACATCCGCGTAATGGTTTGCTGTGTGGGATGGGGAAGAAGTTATATCGTTTTAAACATAGTCAAAAATGCGAACTTCCTGACCGACACCGGCAAAGTCGCCTCAGGGCTCATTAACCCCATAACCCCGAGCCGGGGAGCTCCGGCGGGCTGCTGAGTCACGCGAACTAAAAGTAACAGAATCGGGCGAAAAGTGACGCCGTGACCCACAATAATAATTTAAAGGCCGGCACTATTTCTCCGAACGTTCGGGAAAATAAAGCTAGGCACTATTTCTCCGAACGTTTGGGAAAATAAAGCTGGGCACTATTTCTCCGAACACCCTAAAATCACATTTCCTTTCCGCAAATTTCGGATATTATATATATCTATAATTATAGTATAGGCCTACCAAAGATTGTTCGTATACAATATGGTTCAATCGGTCCAAAAAATGTCCGCAGTAAATATAATGTATAAAGAAATGCTACAGTTCCAAACAGTTTTTCGCTACAGATATGACATGTTGCCTATGAAGGGTGCTGCTCTTTAAAAACTTAATGTGTTGTGTTCACTCGTGTGCTGTCTAGATCTAGATCTACGGAGGGTTATTGATAACGACACATAGAACTAGCATAGATATCTGCGTTTGTCGCGGTCACGACCAATCAATCGTGGCTCCATTTTTTGGTCCCCAAATCGGAGAATAAAAGTCAAATAAAAAAAAAATAAAATAAAAAAAGAAAGAAACCGAACCTCTTTACTTTTGAAAAAAAGTTCACCTAGCTTCACTTCGACTTCATCTCTTTTTCACTTGTTGTCACCAGGTTGATTTGTTGAATACGTTACAGTTACTTTTATTTTTCCCTCTTTGTGCGTGTTTTATTTTGTTAGTGTGTATTTTTTTCTTTCTTGTTATTGTTCTGGTGTGTTGTTTTTCTTTCATTTTTTTATGGGGGGAAAAAAAGGGGGGGGGGGGGGGCTTTATTCAGTAACAGTTCAAAGTATACAAAAATAGAAACACAGGATCCATTCACTCCAGGGCTCATGAGTCGTTCCTCTCTTTCAGTTTCACTCATTCATTCAATTCCCGTGTTCTCTCCCGCGGCTCATCCCCGTCCGTATGACTTTCACACCCCACCCCCTCCCTTCAGGCACACACAAAGAAAATCTCACGCATTCCCTTGCTTGCACCCTGCGAACCATGGACAATAATATAGGCAAAACACTGCCTTAGCCGCATTCCTTTCGTTCGTGAGCTGTGTACCAGGCTAGGGGGGTCGGTGTCGTCGTCTTTGTAGTTGCTGTCGCCTGTGGATACACTCGTACATTCTTCCTTTCACTGCTCTTTCACTCATACTGTCTCTCCATCCACAGCTCAGCTCGTCATACGTTCAAAAGTTGCCCACTGATCATGTTTAGTTAGTGTGTGTATAAGTTTGTGTGTGTACATGTGCATGATGGTGGTGGGTGTTACTGAAGGTTGTCTGTAGACGGGCTTGCCATGCGGTGTTCCTTCCCAATCCCAGACCAGAGGCAGAATGTAGGTTGGCGCCCAACTCTCGCAATAAATAGGCAAAAAATCACGAGACCGGAAGCCGGAAACCGTTCGGAGAAATAAAGATCGGCACTATTTTTCCGAACGTTCGGAGAAATAGTCACTTCGTAATTTAAAAGAAGCCAGAAACAAACACTACTAGCCAAATATTATATCAAAACAAAGTCCTCACTAGCACCATTATAACTGTCATTTCTGTGTCTATAGCGCCGTAAAACATCTACTATGCCATGCGAAAGTCCATGCGCTTTATTTAAACATAATAGGATATATCCAACAGTGTAACCTGACCTATAAATCATTCTTGGGGATAACCCAAGCGATGATGACACTCGTAGCAAGTTTGGCGGTACATTAATAAATTAATAAGACGGCACATCCCAAATGTGCTCCTGCCGAACAGTGCCGGAACATAACCACAGTAGCAGGTCTAAAAATAAACGCGATAGATAGACCGTACGTACGCTATTCTTTGCCAATATTATGTGAGCCCTGTGGAGCAATCCAGCGGAGTGCTCAAGTGAATTGTGATTGGTTCATTGTCTGTCTTGCCACTATTTTAAGTGACTCTGTGACCGTGAACCTGAGGGATGTGAACGTGACTGTCCTATGAGTTGGGCCTTTGAATGGTTGTGTAGTGGAGTAGTGAAAGTTATATTAATTTTTTACTTAGTGTTCAGTTCCAATACAGGAAGAACGAAATTGATGTTTAGCTAACAAACAAATTTAGTACTAGAAAGCAAAGCGACAAGTAAAAAGAATGAAAATAAAAGCACGGAGTCCTCCCTCACCAACCAAAAGATCATAAAAGTATACACCGTCTCATTTACTCAGACTGTGCCCTTGACTTCTTTGACTATCTTCAGCATGCGTTTTACAGCTTAATTGTGCACGTCCGCTTTTTAGCCCCACAAGCCGCCCCTGACCACAACATATATTTTAAACTGCTGTTACAGTAATGCGCTACACCATATAGAGAGGAAGTCTTTCTAACTTCTGGTGAAAAAATCATGAAGATCGACCTGTAAAGTGTAACTTCCAGAGATATAATATATCCACAAAAGATCGCTTACGATATATATCGCACCACAGGATTAACTCATCTCGATCTAGATTAGATATCTAGATATCTTAGATCTAGATTCTAGAGAGATTTTGGAAAGGTTTGGACTCGAGACCAAGTCTCAACAAAACTCTGCCCCGGCCCTGAGTGTGGTCTCTTTTGATCACAGTCACAGAGATGTTGTCACTTCTGCAGTTCAGCTGGAAAATGCAACTGAACTGGGGACCCTTTTTTTCATTTTTTAAATTAAATATAACAGAAAAGTGGAGTCTGGTGACAGAGGACGCAACAGGAGAACGTAACACTTCAGACTACAGGGTCTACAGTCTACAGTACAGTAACAGTTCTCTGACACTGACACACAGCTGACTACACAGTCAGTACGAGTCTCCTGCAACGTAGGATTACGGGGTTTGCTTCGAGTTTGTTTTGGGTGGGAAGGCTGCCACTAAAACACTTCCAGCTTCATCTCTTGATCAACTAGAATCTACCATACATCAGAATTTATCTTCATTTAACAATTTTAAAACAGAGATCATGATCTTCAGTAAACACTTTCACCCTTTACCATTCAATGGTGTGAACTTCCGTTCTGAGTCTGCTATCAGTGCTGTGTTCTTCGTAACTCAAGTCAAAATAACTCCAACGTAACCTCTCTATTCAAGTCCTAAAACTGCATTTGCAAAACTTACTGTCTTTTTCATGATCATATCCGACAAGAACAAAGTAGTCTGCAAGTCGTGACATATCCGATGTTCAAAGGCTTCCTTGATATTTCATTACTCGTTCACCACATATCTTTCCATTCGATAATCTATAGCTCTAGTCCACGCCATCTTGAATCCATCATTATCACTGCTGCCTGGACGCAGCTAACAGAACTTTATGCATTATTTTCTGCTTTAGTGAAAAGTTATCGTTTATTCCTCACTATTTATGACTCAGAGGGTAGGGCTGGGAAGAACCCGTGGCAGGCGTTCTCGTTCGGCACTGGCTCCGGCATAACATTCAACACAAGGAAAGCTTATTTATTTTGCTTTCTCCACCGAAACATACAATAAAGGATAATAGGGTGGGGTGTAGTTTGTTATGGACCTAAAGAAAACTTGGGGGGGGGGGGGGGGGGGGTTGTGTTCCGTTTAAAGAATAATGTGATTTCTTGTGTGAATTCATATAGTCTACATGATAAGGCTACCGTATAGAAGAACTACCGGGCTGTGCGTTCATGAATGTCTTCAAGCAGCACTTTTCAGTTTATAGAAACGAACAATTATTACATCCCTCATCAAAACCCATGATTTCCCGTTTTCGTTTTGACACACAAAATCTATGTCGTTCTCCATTAAAAAAACAGTAGCCTAGGCCTAATATTTAAATCATTTTTCTATTTTAAAAATGGAGTGCATAATAATATAACTGACTGTTTCGGGTACAACATGAAGGGGTGCTGGGGGAGTTGGGTTTTGGGTTTTTTTTTAGGTTTTGGTAGTTTGTCTGCAAGAATACTTTAAACAATAGCATGTAGAAATAAGAGAGTACCGGAGTGCACAACTCTTGGGGATATATATATATATATATATATATATATATATATATATATATATATATATATATTCTCTCTGGCTCTTTTCTTTCTCTCCCTCTCCCCCAGTCTCTCTCTCCTCCCCTCTCTCTCTCTCTCTCTCTCTCTCTCTCTGGGAGGGGAAAACTGTTTGGGGGGAGGGTGGGGGGCTCTCGTGGTCTAGAGCCACGGTGTTTGCCTCTTATTCAATAGGTCCGCGTTCGAAATTTTTACACTTTCTGCCCCCCCCCCCCCCAACCCCCTTCTGTCCTCTTCCTCTGGGCTCCTGACTCTTTTTGCTGCCTTTCTACTGTTAGCCCTTGACTACTGCTATATTTCAACCACATACAGATCTTAGGGTAGGTAAAATCGAACACCTATAGCTTTCTCGGATGAGGGCGGAAGAATCCTGAAGGTCCGGTCCTGTGCAAGTTGCGCACGTTAAAGATCCCCGTTGGTCCTAAAAAGAGCCTATTATAGTAGATTTCGTCGCCACCCGGGGCTAAATTCAAAACAGATTCCCACCAAAATGAAAATGCTTTATATGTCCCGAACGCTCACAGCCTAAACGAACCTATGCAGATTGAGAGCGTTGCAAGGCACCCCCCAAATTTTTATTTTTTTCAGATTCATAAAAAGACCTCTAATTGCTACTAGATGTTATTGTTGTGACGGAAAGATAACGTAAGGGTCGATTTTTAAATGTGAAGAAAACGTAATTATTGCACGGCAAGATTTAAAAACAACAACAACAATACAACAACAAAAGAAGAAGAAGAAAATCTATAGCCAACAAAAAACAGTAGGCCAATTCATAATTATTTAAAAATTATTGGTAATCTCATGTGAATTTAAGGTGGATAGCTGAAACAAATTCAACAATCTAAATATCGGGATTTTAATGACGTTAATCTGATGCCAAACGTATTGAAATCAAACGAAGAATTGGAATAGCTAAAGACAGTTTCGAAAAAATAAATACAACTATGAAAAATAGAAACTTTTATGACAACTAAAATAAAAGTTTTGGAAGGTTTTAGCTAGCAGCTCTTCTAAATGCATATGGGTCGACGACTGTGAATTCTGGACATACGAAGCTTATATCGTGAAAATAACTTGAGGCAATTATTGTTTGCTTGTTAGTTTGTTGTTGTTGTTGCTGCTGCTATTGCTGCTGCTGCTGCTGCTGCTGCTGCTGCTGCTGCTGCTGCTGCTGCTGCTGTTGGTGTTGTTGTTGTTGTTGTTGTTGTTATTGCTGTTGTTGTTGTTGTTGTTGTTGTTGTTGTTGTTGTTGTTGTTGTTGTTGGAGGGGGGGGTGTTGGCAGTCACATTAGAATCTCATGGAATGAAATGGAATCAATAATTCCTGAGATACATGTAGCGCATAATTATTTAAAGAAGCCAACGTTGGACGTCGACAATTAAAAACAAATAGATGGGATGGTAAAATTTGCAGTTTCTGGGACACCTGAATCGACATAAAATATTAAAGTAAAGGCCTAAAACATCTTGCTCTCACCGAAAAAAAAATCAAGAGAAAGCAAATGATCGAAGTAGAGTTAGATCTAGATCTAGATCAAAAACACATTCCTTAATTATTGAGGTTTCTTTCACAGATTCAAGATTTTACCAGTGACAAGAGGGAGCGTGACAGGAGGGCGCCACTGAAAAATCGACCCCCCCCCTCCCCCGACTCCCACAAACTATTGCAGTTTCTGTTTGTTGATCTTGCCCTTTCATTGCGCCTACTGGCCGCTATCGGGTCAGCGTGCTTCTCTTTACTCAAACAAATTGACACGTGGTAGATGTACTGCCATTAAATGCCATTAACAACACTGATTTGAAGTCAGTGTTTTTCTTCATTCAATTTGTTTGGGTATTTTTGTCGTTCTGTCTTTGGTGCTGTGGTTAGACTTTTAGCTTTGCATCAAAGTAAGGGCATTAGAACAAAATTTTATTTACAACCTCCGTGCTTTGCATGCAAAAGCCATGAGATCCGTTCTCGGGTCGGGGAATTCGGTTTGAGAAGTAGGCTAAAATATATTTCTGTGTCTTTGTTGGGATAGTGTATCACGCGCAACCCAGGTAATAAACACTAATAGGCCGAGTCGAAGCAGCTGCCACCTACCGCGCTACCCCCTTGTATAAGTGGATATTGACAGCGTTGGTAAACACTTTTAATAAATCTTATTTTCTCTCTTTTTACTTTCTTTCTTTGTCTTTTCTTTCTTCAAGGCAAGGCAGAGGGTGCCTACAACACCATCTCTTGAAGTATCACTCAAAACGTCTACGAAAGGCTGCCGCGTATTGTTATTTTATACTTTGCACGCTGGGAGTCGACGTTTCTATTGCTAACTACAGCGGCACGATGAGTCTGTTGATGAGTTCCATGCCCATGCCAACATTCTACCCGACCCAATTAATGACTTCGTGAGCAGAGACTGAGCAAAGTCTGGATAAGGAATAGTCATAGACTTGTATCACACTATCCTAGATCGTTCACTCTGACGTGCTTCCGGCTCACTGCGGAGTTCACTATATGTATTTGACTCAATTTGAACCAAATAAAAGGATTTGGGGGGCAAGG